CATTATTCTTTGTACTCAGAAAAGTTAAAGAACTAGAAACATCTAAGCAGCTTTTCCACAGTTGCAATGTGCAATGTTAGGAGTTTGTGTAGTACGCAAGGAGGCCCATTCTTTAAAGTTATTGTTAAACGGGCAGGCTCAGGAGTAGCAGGGCAGGTGAAACATTGTGATTGTCTTGCATGAGAATTCCTCTATACCTGGGATTTAAGTATCTGAGATCAAGGTCAAAGCTGGTAAGACTCTTGCACAGAGCTTCCTCAGGTAGAGCATTACCATAGCAGCTAAGCATCTGTGCCCTTACACAGAAACATTCTCAGGGTATGCCACAGCCATGAAGTCAACAGAGACCCCCAATCTCAGCCACTGCTTTCCTACTCTCTGTCACCACTCTACACAAACCAAGGTACAAACAAACTCACAAATATAAGATCAAAACAATTCAAATCTTCATATAATTATATCCCACCAAATTCAAATCAAGGCTAAATAATAGGTGCAGAAGAAAGCTATTAAGGTGAACATGAAATTATATATTTTATCGAATCTATTGGCACAACAAGGACACACACACAAAAAATTATATATAATGGAAAAAAGTAAAAATACACAATATGAAATGATGTTTGAAAAAAGGTTCAAGATTTTTTTAATTTTATATAATTATATAAATGGGAATAGGAAAAATAAGAAGAAAAAATGAAGAGAAAGAAAATTTAATGAAAAATAAAGGGTCTGTTTCCACTACAGTGGTCAAAACTATTGGCAGGAATGAATTTTCATTTTTTATATTTATTTTTGGCTCTGTACCCCTTAGGTCAAGGGTTGTTAAGTCCAATGTCTGCGTTTCTCACCAAGCTGCCAGCCAAGAGTACTAATTCTTAGTTTCTAATCTCCCATTGACAGCCTGGGTAAGACTGGGGAGTTCTGATGAACTGTGGCATCCTATAGAAGGGATGATACAGAGCTCTAAATAGGAAATTTCAGTAGTTGCAGTTTTGTCTTGGGTGAATTGTGGAACTCTGCTGGTTTGTATTTGGGATTTGATCCATGCCTCCTATTGCTGGGGAAAAGCCAATCTCTGCTAGATGGCTGGATTTCTGGGGGCCCTCGTAAAATCCATTTTTAGGGAATAGGAACTAACCCTCCACAGGTTTTACCTACAGTGCTATGAATGTGAATTACCAGGTATCGACCCTGGAGTGCAGACACTCCTGGGTGGTAGCTATAGGTATCTTCCTGAAAGCTCTTGTGGGATACCAGCAACAGAGAGATTTCTCTCCTTGGTAGTTGGAGCCTATATGAGCCAGACATAATTTTCTTTGTTGTTATTTCAGTCGCTGTGGTTCAGCACACTCTGCAGGTGATAAAATATGAGAATATTTTAAAGACTCCCAAATGGTACTAAAGTGCAGTCAAAGTTGAGAGTCATTGATCTAGATAATTATATTCAAAAGCTAGAGTTCATGAAAAGTTTTAGGTTAACTAGTTTGTAGCTTTCAAAACCAAGCTACATAAAAAATTTCCATTACAAAAAAAAGCCAGTTCACTCTAATCTGTTCATTTTACTCTTTCAAAAGGCTATACAAGACATTATCAGAACAGGATTTTTAATAAACAATGTATTTTTATACACGTGCACACATTGGCATGTTCTTATGGGAACATTGCCTTTACAAATCACCTGATATTCCTAGAGAAACAAGCCATATCATAAAATAACAATGAGGTACAAACACCAAATTTTGAGTTCAGATGAATATTGGTCTGGGATTGTGGCTCAGCGGTAGAGCACTCGCCTAGCACAGGCGGGACCCAGGTTCAATGGCAGTGTGTTGTGTCCATCTACAAAAAAGATTCTCTTTCTAAAAAAAAAAAAAAAAAACACCAAATTTTGAGTTCAAATGAATATACTGACTCAAATGAAGGAAGAAATCATGTCTAATTGTAATAGTTTTTATGACTGTCAAAAAAAAAAGAAGAAAAATTAGAACTTAAGTTTTTAAGAATGTGATAGGCAGACCTGCTGGGAGAAAAGACACATAAGTTTTTTATTTGTTTGTTTGTTTTAGGGGATAAAATGTAATGTAAAACAAAAGCAGATAAAATGTAATGTAAAACAAAATTTCTCTCCTAAGGGTTCTTCATCTCAACCATGGGTTGTTGTAATGACATGACTATTTTCTCAATTCTCTCAAGGATGGAACAGAGTACCATTCTAAAAAGCACAGGACAAAAATGGGATAGAAGTTAATTCATTACACACAGTGGCTGATTTAGGGTGATGATTCTCAATCCCTGGAATCACCTGGAAGGCCTATTTAAACAGACTGTGGCATCAAAGATCTTGGTTTGACCCTGGTGTGGGATAGAAAAATATGCGTTTCTAATAAGTTCCCAAACACTGCTACTGCTGCTACTGCAGAGATAACACCTGGAAAGCCATGGCCTTTGGGTTTTAATTGGTGTAATTCTAGTTTAAAAAGGCTCCTACAAAAGGAACAACCAGTGCGTTCAGATAAGGTGTAGTGCAAAGATTCTTCCCAGGTTTCTATAAAGAGGAGGACATTCTGCCTGTTGATATCACTACAGGACACTTCACCAATCTTTTCATATTAAAATTAGTCCATTTTTTTGGCTCTGCGGATTGAAGCCAGGGTCTCTAGCAAGTTAAACACACACTCTAAAACGGAGCTATATTCCATCCCCAATCCTCATCATTTTTATCCTTTTTTTTTTTGAACATTTTTGTTTTGAGAGAATTTCTCAAGTTTGTTCTCCACAGATACAACTTCACTATTTGTAATATTCAATAATTTCTCACCTATTGCTTTCAAAATGAAATGTCAGTTCTGCTATTGTATTTTAGTTCTTCATCATCCTTCCTTATATTACTTGTTCCCCTTTTCAACTGGAAGCCCTTTCATCTGAGTTTGCTATCTCCTTATGGGGTTATCTCCTGTTTCATTGGGGCCACATTTTCTTCTATGCTATTGGGTATGTCTATTGCTTTTCTTTTCACTTTTTCTTGGTTCTCTATATTCACAGAGTGGCTCTCCCTCAATACATCAGATTATTTGACTTTTCCCTTATTTGACAAGTTTTTTTATTTTTATTTTTTAAGAGATTTTATTTTCCCCAGGTTAACACTTCCATGACAAAGAAAGTAAACTAAACCATGTCCTATATCACCCAACAAAAAGAGACCATTAGGCTGTCCTTGATTCTGCTTTCTAACCACACAGCTACTAGTGGAACCAGCCTCCCCAAAATGATGTACAGGATCTAAGCAATTCCTGATACCCAAGAGGCCTAATTTATGGTGGTTCCACAAGAATAAGGAAGGAGAGGGAAATCTGTATTCCAAATTGGGATTAAACCAGACAAGCATTCTACCATTGGCTACATCCCCATACCTTTTTCAATTCTTTAAAAAATTTCTGAGAGAGGGTCTCACCAAGTTGCGCAGGCTGGCCTCAAACTTGCAATTCTTCTGCCTCAGTCTCCAAAGTCATTGGGATCACAGGTATGGCACTACAATCTACAGCCAGCAGGTAGAATTTTTGAAATTCTACTCTTTATCCTTAGATAGGCTAAGTTCTATCTGTTATTAGGGTTCAGATCACACATCCCAAAGGGCCATATTTTCAAGGTCTTTTTGCAACAGCTAACAATAAAGGAATTCTCTGAGCAACCTCTCCTAAAAGTATATCATTAGACTGTCAAGTGAAGAGCATCCTGCATTATGGCTAGAGGAAGGAATGCTATTAGGGAGGCCAAGAAGAACCTGAGCAACAGGCCTTGTTAAGTCCCCCAGTCTAGCACCGCTGTTTCGTGCTCCTTTTCTGCAATCATATTCTCTCCAAACCATTCAGTCTGCATCAAACCCTTATAAAATACAGTCTTCCCTGGTCTTTGGGTTTTTAATATTCCTGCATCTTGTAAAACTTTGATTAAATAAATGTTAAGCTTCTCTCTTGTTAATCTTTTGTTCTAGTGTGTCAGCCATGACCCTTGCAATTGGATGAACAAAAGATATTACTTTTTCTCCCCATACTATCTTTCTAAGCTGAGTTAAATTCACCATCTTTTCCATGAAGCAAGCCCCTTTTCTACCATAAAGATCCATTCTGAACCCTCACTTCTTTAAAGGCTTGTCTTTGTTATAGTCATGACCATATAATTTACTATTTTTGTTCTGTAATTATTTCACATTCATCCCAACTCCAAATCAAGTAATTAAAAGTCAGTTACATTTCAGAATTCTTTATAATAGCAGAGGCAAAATAAATGTGTCAACTGATAAAAATGCAGTTTTAGAGAATTTCCTAAAGATTACAAGCACTTCCACCAAGGTGAAATTATATACAATAGATAAAATTTAGTCAACATTTCCATCACTAATAGTCTAAGGGAAAAACTTTACATTCCTGTTTCTCTTCTGAAGCTGTTGAAAGCAAGAAATTGATTTGTAAGTAGAATAAAAGGCTCTACATATGAACAAAAAAAATGCAGTTTTTGTTGCTTGGTGATGCACACATGTAATCTCAGCAACTCAGGAGGCAGGAGGATTTAAAGTTCAAGGCCAGCCTCAGCAACTTAGTGAGATCCTAAGCAACTTAGCAAGACCTTGGGGCTAGTGGTTAAGTACTCCAGGTTCAATATCTGATACAAAAAGAAAGGGGCAGGGAGAGAGGAGGAGGAGGGGGAGAGAGGGGGATAAAGGGAGAAAGAGGGGGAGGGAGGGAGGGGGAGAGAGAGAGAAAAGAAATTTTGCTAATTCAAAAAAAAATTAAAATAATATATAACATAATTAAGAATATAAAATAGTCTTGTGGGTTGAGATAAGTCTAAAACTGCTATAAGCAAATTCAAAATCTAATCCACATATGATTTTGTTTCAGAGAGTTCTATTATTTTCATCACCTCACTTCCATTTAATAATTAGTAACTTATTTTTAATACAACTCACTCATCAATGGAGAGAGAAAAAGACTACTTACCCCACCCATTGTAATTCCATCAATAAGTGCAATGTATGGTTTCTGGAGAGAAGCTAAAAGAAACAGACCTATAATTTTAGTTGCAATATTTACAATATATTCACTTTTTCAAAAATCATGTTATATAGACTCTATTATTCCTGGGAAGTTTTTGTAAGAAATATCAAAGAGGACTACTGTAAAGCTTATAAAATATTTTTTAAATGTCAATCTATACACAATCCTGATTAGCTATTCATTAACAACTCAAACTTCAATTTGAAACAAATTATCATGTAACTCAGCTATTAAGAAATATAATATTTATTTTATAAGTCACTGATATTTATATTCACAGTTGTATTTTAAAGAACATATTTGTTTTTCATATAACTAAAGTATCTGGATACATACAACAAAGTACAACATACAAGAAAAAGCATGGACTGAGAATTAGAAGACCCAGATTCTAGCTTCAGCTTTATCATTAATTGGCAATTCAACTAGGTATTAAATGATAAATACATAGATATAAATTATATATAATATATATACATGACAGATAAGAGTATGTGTATGTGTATGTGTATGTATGTATGTATGTATGTGTGTGTGTGTATCCTCATCTAAAAGATGATGAGACTTAACATATGGCCTCAGATGTCCTTTCCCAGTTGAAAATTTTGGTAATCATATGAACTTTTATTGTCATCCATCCATTCCCTCTTTTGTTTTTCCTGTGAGAGGGAAAGTTGGCCAGAATATAACAAAAATATAAATCATTGAGTTTCAACTATAGTTTTTTGCTAAGATTACCTCCTTATCAAATGGAAATATAAAACTTCAATGTTTTGATCCACTTAGCAATTCTGGAAGATGAAAAATCCAACGGTAGTCATGACAAAAGATGTATAGAAAAAAAAATTGGGGGAAGAATTTGGAAAAAAAGATATATTAATTCTATGAGCCATGCATTCCACATAATTATTTCTAAAGAAATTTTAACACATGGACATCATAAGGTTATAATCACCTACATTAGTAAAAACTAGAAATAACTTAAGATATCCATAAATGTAGAATAAATAATATGGGCATATAGTCGTAATTATTATATAGTTACACTCATGTTATTAAAAACAACTTATATGAGAACAGCATATAGATTCTCCTTGACTTACAATGAATTTTCATCCAATAAAACTACTATTAAATTGTAACTATTGCAAGTAAAATAACATTTTAAGATATCTAATTTAGCAAACATCACAGTAGCTGTTCACCTTGTGAACTCATGGCTGACTGGGAGCCTTACTGCTCTGCCCAATATCGTGAGAGAGTACTGAACTACATATCACAAGCCCAAGAAAGATCAAAATTCTAAATTTGAATACAGTTTCTACAGAACACGGACTAGAACACGTACTGCTTTCACACCATTGTAAATGTGAATGATTAAAGTAAACCACTCTAAGTCAGGGAACATCTATACACATGTATATTTTAAAACACTAACAAGTTTATAAGCATTTAGTAAAGTTAAGTTATGGTTGCATCACTACACACAACCAATGGTTGCTTCTGCTTAGATAAAGGAATGACGTGAAGGAAAACCACAAAATGGGCTGAATTATGACTTTAAAAATTGAAATACTTTATTTCTTTTAAATAAAATTTTCAATAGCAAGCAAAAATAATATATTGATATCTGTTATTGCTGGACTGGTGGGTACATAAGTATTTACTGTTATTCCCTATAACTTCACTTTTGAAAACACATGTTTGATAAAAGTAAATACTGCTTTGCTTCCAGTGAAACTAGAACTTTGACTATAAAAAAATTTTCATTTCAGAGTTCCTTGAGAATTAGGAAATGATACATTTTATATAGAAAGCTGAGACCCAAGTTTTTTGTTCAATAAGAAAGCTAACTGTATGATTAGAAATCCATGTTTTCAAATTGATTTCATGAGACAGTAGTGAAGTATAGCCTACAAATATTAAGATATAATTGTTCTGTAATAAGCAGTCCAAATACTTAAATCAACTTTATTTAGGTCCAACACATAGTATATAAAAGTTTCAATAAGTTAGGCAAGGTGGCACATGCCTATAATCCCAGCAACTTGGGAGGCTGAGGCAGTAGGATCATTAAGTTCAAGGTCAGTCTTAGCTCTTAGTGAATCCCAAAACAACTTAGTGAGATCTTGCCTCAAAATAAAAATAAAAAGGGCTGAAGATGTGACTCAGTGATAAAGCACCCCTAGGTTCAATCCCCAGTACCAAAAAAAAAAAGTGTCTACTGATGACATCTTAGCAAATCATACTGCCCACCCCATTTCTTGATTCCATTTTCAAAGCTTTCTAGAGCACACACATACCAATGGCATTGTTCAGTATATATTCTTCTTTGAAGAAAATTTCAGCAAGTTTCTGTTTTGCCTTTACAGCATCTGATATTGCTAAGAAAGGAAAAAATTAGAAATTGAAAGAAAAGGAAGAACAATTGGAAATCAAAAAATGTATTTTCTAGTTGACATATTAAAAATACTGTGATAATTAAGTACTGGGTGGGGGACTCTAAAATGGCTTGGTAAAATTAAAGCTGATCATACCATAGAAATATTATATTTAGAGATCTACAGTCCAGTATCAAAGTTTCAAGATAAAATTCTTATTTGACTTACTTTGGTATTATGAAATACATATATATTGGTTTTTATCCCCAGTTCCAGGCCCCTTAACTCCCTCTCCAAAACAGACCAGAGAAACTAGAACTTCTCTTTCTCAAAGCTGGTCACATACTCAAACCTTTCCCTATATTTCTATCTTGGAGCTGGTCATGAAGTTGCTCTTTGACCCACTTTGTCTGACAGCAGATCACAGACCCCATTTGAGAAGTCTTAGCTCAGATGTGGGAGGGAGGAATGCTGCACAGGGAGACCACAAAGCACCAGAACAGATAAGCCCTGCCACTCGGTGTACAAGCATTAGATCACACCCTTTTTAATCCATGGTTCTCTATGCTTCAACAATGCTTAAAAAAAATGAAGTATCCAAGAAAACACAAAAGCAAAGGGTTTGGAGAGCTTCCGGACAGGTAAACATGTAGAGGTTTTTAGGAGTGGTGTGCCCAATAAGGGCATGGAAGTACCACAACTCTGTCCTTGTCCTATGCATCAATCCATATGTATTAATTATAATATTCTCTATAATAAATCAGTAAATGTGTTATTCTGAGTTCCATGAGTTGATGAGTAAATCAACAACTTGAGGAGTGAGTTGTGGGAACCTGATTTATCAAAGTGCAGGTTAGAGTGCAGATAAACCCAGGGCTTACAACTACTATCTAAAGTGGGAGGTTCTATAGACAGCAAAAATAAGAATGGGGTGCTATGGGAATGGGAGCAAGGAGGGATGTGATTAAAAGATGGCTTTCCAGAAGAGGCAAGTCTGAACCAAGTAAGAAAAGACAGGTAGGAAGTTCCTAAGAAATGTCAGGAGGTAAGTTTTAAATGGAGGAAGCAGTACCTGCAAAAGCAGAAAAGCAAGGATGCAAAGGTAAAATCAAGAATAAATTTGTTTTAAAAGATTAAAGGGAAATGATAAAAGGTGAGGCTAGAAAGGTAAATAAGACAGTAACATTCTTATTTGTCAGTAACAACAATGGAAATATAACTTCTCAAAGACATTGCTATAGCATTCTGCTGCCTGACTTAAACAAGCACTCAGTAGATATTTGCTGAGTAATGAACACTATCAAATAGTTTCATTTCAATTGCAATTTTCTCGTATGCAGATTTCACATCCCCTGTGCTCCTACTGCAATCAATCTCTATAGTTTTTCTTCTATAAACTGCAAACTCATATGCCTTTCCTGTACTTAAATTCTAAGAATAATCTAAAATATAAATTAAATGTACTTGTATGATATATACATGTTTTTTGTTTGTTTTGTTTTGGCTGTGTTGGGGATTGAATTCAGGGCTTCGAACATACTAGGCAAGCCTACCACTGAACTACATCCCCAGCACCATTTTATATGAGATTTGAGCATCTGTGGATTTGGGGATCTTGGGTGAAAGGAATCAATCCTTCAGGAGGCGGATACTGAAGGATGACTATATATCAGAACTCTAGAGGTTGTCTCAAAATCCAATCAATAATTCTTAGATAATACTTTCCCATAAAAGGGGATACATGAACATGCATGGTGGTGCATACCTGTTGTCCCAACTGCTCAGAAGGCTTTAAGAGGATCACAGGTTTGAGATCAGCCTAGGCAATTTAGTGAGATAATATCTCAAAATAAAAAGGGCTAGGGATATAGCTCAGTAGTAGAGAGCTTGCACAGTATACACAAGGCCCTGGGTTTGCTGCCTAGCAACACACACATACACACACATACACACACACACATGATAAAACAAAAGCAAGAGAATCACAGCCTTTGGGACAGAATCTCCTGTGTTTCTACTTGGCTAGCAAAACAATAAACCTTCTTTTCCTTTTTTTCAAAATCATGTCCTCATCAGGGACAAGTACTGAGCTTTCAGCAACAAACTTGGTATCCCAGGTGGGGCCCAAGAGCAGACTCTGCTCCAAGGAAATAAAAGACGCTGTCAAAAGCTTACCAACCAAAAAAAGCCCAGGACCAGATGGATTATCAGCCAAGTTCTACAAGACCTTCAAAGAAGAAGTAATACTAATACTCCTCAAATTATTCCAAGAAATAAAAAGGAGGGAACCCTACTAAACTCATTCTATGAGGCAAGTATCACCCCGATTCTAAAACCAAACACAGTCACATGAAGGAAAGAAAACTTCCAACCAATATGAACACAGACGCAAAAATTCCCAGTAAAATTCTGGCAAATCACATACGAAAACATATTAAAAAGACAGTGCACCACAATCAAATGGGGTTCATCCCAGGGATGCAAGGTTGGTTCAACATACAGAAATCAATAAACTTAATTCTTCACATCAATAGACTTAAAACAAGAATCACACGATTACCTCAATAGATGCTGAGAAAGCATTTGACAAAATACACCTCTTCATGTTCAAAACACTAGAAAAACAAGGGATAGTAGGAACATACCTCAACATTGTAAAAGCTATATATGCTAAACCCAAGGCCAACATCATTCTAAATGGAGAAAAATTTTGAAAGCACTCCTCACTTGTATTCAACATAGTTCCTGAAACTCTAGCCAGAACAATCAGACAGATGAAAGAAATTAAAGGGAAATGAATAGGAAAAGAAGAACTGAAACTATCACTATTTGCTGATGACAATCATATATCAAAAAAAATTCCAGATAACTTCTAGAACTAATAAATGAATTCAGCAAAGTATCAGAATATAAAATTAATACCCATAAATCAAATGCACTCTATGAATATTCTGCAAGAGAAATTAGAATTACCCTATTCACCATAGCCTCAAAAAAAAAAAAAACTTGGGAATCAATCTAACAAAAGAGGTAAAAGACCTCTACAATGAAAACCACAGAACACTACAGAAAGAAATTGAAGAAGACCTCAGAAAATGGAAAGATCTCCCATGCTCTTGGATAGGCAGAATTAATATAATCAAAATGTCATACTACCAAAACTGTTATACAGATTTAAAGCAACTTCTATAAAAATCTCAATGACATTCTTCATAGAAATAGAAAAAGCAATCATGAAATTCATTTGGAAAAAGAAGAGACCCAGAATAGCCAAGGTATCCTTAGCAAGAGTGAAGCAGGAGGCATCACAATACCAGACCTTAAACCATATTATAGAGCAATTGAAACAAAAATGGCATGGTATTGGTACCAAAATAGACATGTAGACCAATGGTACAAAATAGAAGACACACAGACAAACCCACATAAATATGGTTATCTCATACTAGACAAAGGTGCCAAAAAACAGTCATTAGAGGAAAGATAGCCTCTTCAACAAATGTTGCTAGGAAAACTGGAAGTACATATGTAGCAGAATGAAATTTAACCTCTATCTCTCACCCTGCACAAAAATCAACTCAAAGTGGATCAAAGACTTAGACACTAGAACAGAGACCCTGCACCTAGTAGAAGAAAAAGTAGGCCCAATTTTTCATCATGTTGGCTTAGGACCTACCTGACTTCCTGAACAAGACTCCTAAAGTACAAGTAGGAAAAGCAAGAATCAATAAATGGGATGAATTCAAACTCAAAAGCTTCTTCTCAGCAAAGGAAACAACCAACAATGTGAAGAGAGAGCCTACAGAATGGGAAAAAATCTTTACCACACACACCTCAGACAAAGCACTAATCTCCAAGATACACAAAGAACTAAAAAAAAACTTAACACTAAAAAAAAAAAAAAAAAAACAAATAACTCAATAAATGGGCTAAGGAACTGAACAGACACAGAAGAAGAAACACAATCGATCAACAATTATATGAAAAAATACTCATCTTCTTCAGCAATTAGAGAAATGTAAATCAAAAGTACTCTAAGCTTTCCTAGCATGGGTGAGGCACTGGGTTCAATCCTCAGCACCACATAAAAAATAAATAAATAAATAAATATATAAATATAAAATATATATATATATACTTTATTTATTTTACAAGCAATAATAAGTGTTGACAAAGATGTGGGGGGAAATGGTTTAGGACCTGACTTCCTAACAAGAAGGGATACAAATTGGAAAAGACGAACTAAAAATATCATTATTTGCTGATGACATGATTCTATATGTAGAAGATCAAAAAAAATTCTACCAGAAAACTTCCAGAACTAATAAATTTATACATTGCTGGTGAGACTGGAAAGTGGCACAACCATTATTGAAAGCAGTATGGAGATTCCTCAGAAAACTTGGAACAGAACCACCATTTGACCCAGCTATCCCACTCCTTGGTTTATACCCAAAGGATTTAAAATCAGCATACTGCAATGATGTAGCCACATCAATATTTATAGCAGCTCAATTCACAGTAGTTAAACTATGGAACCAACCTAGATGCCCTTCAATAGATGAATGGATAAAGAAAACGTGGTCTATATACACAATGGAATATTACAAAACCTTAAAGAATGCAATTATGGCATTTGCAGGTAACTGGATGAAACTAGAGAATATCATGCTAATGAAATAAGCCAATTCCCAAAACCATAGGCTCAACATTTTGTCTGGTAAGTTAATGTTGATCCATTGCAGGGGGGCAGTGTAGGGAAGAATAAAGGAACTCCTGATTATGCAGAGGGGAGTGAGGGGAGGCATGGGTCTGGGAAAGGGAAGGGCAGTAGAATGAGACAGACATTATTACCTTAAATATATGTATGATTACACTACTGGTGTGACTCTGCACCAGGTATAGTCAGAAGAATGAGAAATTGTGCTCCATTTGTATATGTCAAAATGCATTCTACTGTCATGTATAACTGATTAGAACAAATTTAAGAAATTTTTAAAAAAATATTCACATGGGGACTGGGAGTGTGGTTCAGAAGCAGAAAACATACATGTATATATGAGGCCCTGGGTTCAATCCCTAGCACCATACATACACACAAAAAAAATTCATGTTGTAGGTAAAACAACAAATTCAAAAACTATTTAATTAACAAATCAGTTTACGTAATCAAAGTTTATATTAAACATAAATTTTAAAACTCAGTTACTTCAAATCTAATACATACTTAAAATTATATCCTAAATCCAGATTGTTTCTTCCTATTCTTAATGACTTACATTAACTTGTAAATTTGATGAACAAATCAACCCAAATATTATCATCTTATCACAATACGAAAAAAAACAATATGCAAAACAAGAATACTAGGAGAAAATGTCCCTGGATCCTGCCCACTCCATAAGAAAATAAACATAAATTGTAAAAACAGTTTTCTATATGTATATATAATACATGGACAATGAATAGTGGTAACAGTAAGTACATGACTTTGATCCTAAGAAATATTTCTTCTCTCTTAAACAGCTAAACAGGTACAGATTGACCCAAACAATTTGAAAAGTAACTTTTATTTATCTCTGTGTGTTTATACACATGTAAATATATAAATACACACAATATATATAAAGTAGAAATAAGCCTGGCACACTGGTACATGCCTATAATCCCAGGATCTTGGGATTTAAGTCTGAATTAAAATCTTAACATTTTTTGAGGAAGGAGGATTTTCAGTTCAAAGCCAGCCTCAACAACTTAGCAAGGCCCTAAGCAATTTAGTCAGACTTTGTCTCTAAATAAAATACAAAAAGGCTGGGGATGTGGCTTAATGGTAAAGTGCCCCTGGATTCAATCCCTGGTACCAAAAAAAGAAAAAAATCCATTAAGTATATAGAAAGTGTTTGCTTTAGATCATAAATAGTAGGAAAATGTGAAAGTTATGGGAATATATAACAGTAGGTCATATTCAGAGATTGGGAAGTCACTCAACATGATCAGATTGCCAGATTACATAACAAACAGAAATGCTTAATATCAGCTATTCTAAAATATAAAGAGGATTCATGTACCGCTATGGATACCTTGTTTAGGATAATTTAAGGAGAGATACAATATCCAAGTTTCCAAAGGGCAAATGTGTAGTGAAGAAAAAAAAATCTCTATTCTCCTCATTTTCTACTACTACCAGCAAAAGGCAAGTCTCTAAATTTTTCTGCATTTTTAAGATTAACTTGTAACCAAAAAAAAATTCTAAAAAAGTATATCATATTACAAATTGCCACAAAAACTTGCCAACACTTTATCAGTTCTAGTGGGGAGGAAGCATTTACATGAGGGGTAGGGAGAGTTTTTACCTCTGATGTCACCCCCAGCGCAGAAAGCCTTTCCTCCAGCTCCCTTTATAATAATCAGGGAAGTTTCGGGATCTTGCTCCCACTTCTATCCAAATGTAAAAGAAGATGGTATAAGCATACTGTAATACAAACTCAAAGGTACACATTCATATCTATACATGTACATATATAAATACAACCTTTTATAAAGCATATCCAGAGGAATGGATCTCATTCATTCCATTTCATCATGGAATGAACTTCATTTTCTTTTCTAAGATAAAGTAGAGGCTATTTCAACAAGGATGCTAAATGAATACATTCTGTGATCCAAATTTCATGATAGCATCTGAAATAAAAAACCATAACTTTAAGACCAAGGTGAGTAAATATGGACTTAAAGGTAATATGTTACATAAACTTATAAATCTGGTAAACAAATCAACCCAAAGATTGTTAACAGAGGAATAACTTTTTTTAGTTGTAGATGGACACAATACCTTTATTTTATTAGTTTATTTTTATGTGGTGCTGGGGATCAAACTCAGTGCCTCACACATGCTAGGCAAGCACTCTACCACAGAGCCACAAGTCCAGCCCAAGGAATAACCTTTCTACTATAGTATAATATGACACTTTCTATTGAAACATTTATAAGTAATAGAGCAAAACCACTTATGATATTAATCAAATGTACAAGTTCTGGGGGTTGGTAAGAACCACTAACAAATAAGCAGGATCTGGGGCTGGGGATGTTGTTCAGTGGTACAGAACTTAGCATATGAGCAAGGACCTAGGTTTCATTCTTACCACCACCTATAAATAGAATAATTGCATCAAGTGCCAATGGAAATTCAAAAGGTTAGAATAGTCTAATGAAAAATTAACAGGAATTCTATAAGCTCTATTTTACAGAATAAAATGATAAGTGCACAAGAAAGAGATATAGCCAGACAGATGACTTTCAAAAGAGCAATGCAATTCTGAACTACAATAATAAAAATATGCTATTCTGACATGGAAGTTTCTACTTTCTTCCACTCTAGTCCAACTCGGACCTGTAATACTTGGATAATTTCTGTGGCAGCAATTTAGGACATACTATGTCTCAAACAGAACACAAGAATGAAAGAGACCATGAAGTGAAGAATAAGAAATTAAAGGCCAGGAGAGAACTAACATTTGTTCAACACCTACATGGCAAGCCATATTAGGTACTTCCACATCCTATTTCGTTTAATCTTTGTGATCATTCTATAAAAGATCATCATCCCTATTTCATAGTTGAAAAAAGGGAGAAATAAGGAAATCAATTTTCCAATGTACACAGTTAACAAGTAGAAATCCAAGTCTGAAACATAAGTAATCTGACTTTAAGTGCTACATTTCTCTATCACCCTATGTAATGTACTTAGAAAGGTTTATAGCCTTCTTTAAGAAAAAGCAGGCCTGGTTCTGCTCTCTGCCCTCTTCCTCTCTTCCTCTTCTTTCTTTCCTCTTCCCCTGCTTTCTTCCCTCTTCCTCTCTGCTCTCTTTCTTTCTGCCCTCCTCCTCTCCTTTCTCTGCTCTCTGCCTCTCCTTTTCTTCCCCTTCCGGGAACCCCCTCAATAAAATCTGTTGGTTTAAAAAAAAAAAAAAAGTCAGGTCAGGCAGATAAAAACAGCTGTTTTTTAGCCAAAAGGCTACCATATGCAGACAAAGTAGATTCGTACACTCACGTTCTATGAGGCAGAGCTGTATCATTGGCTCAAAGATCAGAGAAACAAAGAATGACAGAATACAAAAAGGACTTGTTAAAAATCAGAGCTATATAAAAGTGGAAGGTGGGGCTGGGGCTGTAGCTCATTGGTAGAGCACCCGCTTTGGGCGGTTGACACGCTGGGTTCAATCCTCAGCACCACATAAAAATAAATAAGGATATTACATTCAACTTACAACTAGAAAAATATTTTTTTAAAAAAGTGGAAGGGGGACTGGGCTTGTGGCTCAGCAATAGAGTGCTCACCTAGCACATGTGAGGTGCTGGGTTCAATCCTCAGCACCACATAAAAATAAATAAGGATATTACATTCAACTTACAACTAGAAAAATATTTTTTTAAAAAAGTGGAAGGGGGACTGGGCTTGTGGCTCAGCAATAGAGTGCTCACCTAGCACATGTGAGGTGCTGGGTTCAATCCTCAGCACCACATAAAAATAAATAAGGATATTACATTCAACTTACAACTAGAAAAATATTTTTTTAAAAAAGTGGAAGGGGGACTGGGCTTGTGGCTCAGCAATAGAGTGCTCACCTAGCACATGTGAGGTGCTGGGTTCAATCCTCAGCACCACATAAAATAAATAAATAAATAAAATAAACAACTTGCTAAGCCATAAGTCCAACTACAACTAAAAAAATATTAAAAAAAAAAAAAGTGGAAAGGGCTCTCCTGTAAGGGAGTAGACTTCTTATCACCAAGGTCCCAGAGATAACCAGACAGGAAAGCACCAAGGACTCAAGAATCATTGGGGCTTGGGTACATAATCAAAAGAGTCCTATGACTAAATGGGATAGAATCTTTACAACCAAACTGTAAAAGATTCTGTGGGATAAAATATTTTATTATGATACATTTTTTAAATGATCCATATAAATGCTTTCAGAAATTACAAACCTTTAACTGTGAGTAAATCTTCTGAGCCATATTAAGATTCAGTGCATTGAGTAACTTCGGTCTATTAAGTGTAATCACTCCTGCGCAACCTTTTTTTTCCAGAAGTACATCCTCTGCAGCTTCTGTGTGCTTGGACATTCTCTGTGTAGGCAAAGAAAAACTTCATGATAAAATTCACTTTTTGTTGCAAGTCCACATCAAAACACACACAAAAACCTTTCATGTTAACAATTACCAAAGGAATGAATCAATAGGTATATCTGGCAAATATTTCTAAAGTTATTTAGTCTGTATAGATGGACAAATTCCAAAGCAAACTACACATATCTCCTGAATTTTTTTCTGAATCAACTGATTTATAATAAAGCCTAATACTAGAATTTCCTGGACCATAAAATACTCTTAAATCTCTTAACTTACTATTTTTCAAGCTCTATGTTAGGGCAATGAGAAAGTAAAACTAAAATAGAAAAAAGAAGCAAATAAAAAAATTCTGACTACATTACCTTATAGATAGCGTTTTTTGTTTTGTTTTGTTTTTTAAAGGTAATATCTGGCCTGGGCTATTTTAATGTATATTGAGAAAAAGGGAGTACGAATTCCAGCTAGAAGGAACAGCACTTGCTAAGCCATAAGCAATGAAAATTTGGAAATATGAAGATGTAAAAATGAGTGGAACAGAGCCAGGTATGGGGGCTAATGCCTGTAATTCCAGCTATTTGGAAGGCTGAAACAAGAGAGTCATAAGTTTAGGCCAGCCCCAGCAGCTCAGCAAGACCTATCTCAAAATAAAATTAAAAAAACAAAAAACAAAAAACACAACAGCACCAGGAGGCTAAGGCAGGAGATCGAAAGTTCAAGACCAGCCTCAGCAACTTAGGCCCTAAGCAAGTTAGCAAGGTCCTGCCTCAAAATAAAAAATAAAAAGGATTCAGGATGTGGCTCAGTGGTTAAGTGCCCCTAGGCTCAATCCCTACTAGCAAAATAAAATTAAACAACTTGGGCTATAAATCAATGATAGAGCATTTGCCTAGTATATGTAAAGCCCTGGATTCAACAATCCCCAGTATTAAAAAAAAAAAAAAAAAAAAAAAAAAAAAAAAAAGGACCAATTAAAGGAATGATTGATGGCAGGCAGAAAAAGAAATCTGAGGCAAGATTATAAAATTACAGACTTACATGTTATATGTTTGGAAAAAAGTTGCCTATAAGTTATCACCAAATCTCCATTTTTAAAGAACACGGGTTTAACTAAACAGCAATTTTCCAGAATTGTGTCACACATAAATATCAGGGCTCATGGCACCACCATTCTTAACACTTTTTATCCAAGGACAATTACTTAAACCTTAAATGGGAACAATGTGCAACATAAAATTAAAAGTCAGTTCGAACTAAAAAAATTAACTGAAGTATGCCATTTAAAGCTAAACAGCACACTTACTAAGATCTAATAAAATTCAGAAGTCCATATTTTGAAAGCATATACAACGTTTACAGAATGCTTAAGTTCTCCTTTATAAAATCATGCTACATATTTAAGATTGAAACTAATTATTAAAATTCATTATCATATTAAATATAATTTATATGCATTTAAAAAGTTTTAGGAAAGGCTATTAAACAACAGGAAAGAGTGTATCTTTTCAATTTAAATTTCTCACTAGAGAAATTCAAACTTACTTAACACTATAAATTGTAGTAAAATATGGGTCCAATCCCTAGCACAAGTAGCTTAATGGTAGAGTACTTGCCTAGCATGTGCAGGCACTGTGTTGGATCCCCAGCTCCACCCCACCCCACCCCCCCAAAAAAAGGAAAAGAAAGAGAGAAAGAGAGAAAGTGACTGTGTGGGCTCACATGAAAGACTAAAATGTTCATCAGTGAGAAAATATACTTAAACAAAATATGGTCATTCATATGAGCACATGCTAGGGACTCTTTAAAAAGAATCCCTGATGAACATTGTTGTAAAAATTCTCAGTAAAATTCAGGCAAATCACATACAAAAACATATTAAAAAGATAGCATACCACGATCAAGTGGGGTTCATCCCAGGGATGCAAGTTTGGTTCAACAAACAGAAATCAATAAACTTAATTCTTCACATCAATAGACTTAAAGACAAGAATCATATGATCATCTCAATAGATGCAGAAAAAGCGTTTGACAGAAAACATCACCCTTTCATGTTCAAAACATTTAAAAACCTAGAGATAATAGGAACATACCTGAACATTGAAAAAGCTATCTCTGCTATACCCAAGGCCAACATCATTCTAAATGGAGAAAAATTGAAAGCATTCCCTCTAAAAACTGGAACAAGACAGAGATACCCTCTGTAACCACTTCTATTCAACATAATCCCAGAAACTGTAGCCACAGCAATTAGACAAAAGAAATTAAAGGGATACAAATAGGATAAGAAGAACTGAAAGTATCACTGTTTGCTGATTCTATATTTAGAAGATCCAAAAAAATTCCACCAGAAAACTTCTAGGATTAATAAATGAATTCAGCAAAGTAGCAAGATATAAAATCAATACCCATAAATCAAATGTGTTCCTATACATCAATAATGAATCAACTAAAGAGAAATTAGAATTACATCAATCACCCTAGCCTAAAAAAAAAAAGCTGAGAATCAAATCTAACAAAAGAAATGAAAGACCTCTACAATGAAAACTACAGAACACTAAAGAAAGAAATTGAAGAAGACCTTAGAAGATGGAAAGATCTCCCATGCTCTTGGAGAGGCAGAATTAACATTGTCAAAATGGCCATACTACCAAAAGCATTACCCAGATTTAATGCAATTCCTATTAAAATACCAAGCATTCTTCATAGAACTAGAAAATATTTACTTCCAGGAAGGAAAACTGGCATCAGAAGGAGCAGGACAGCCCTTTGAACCCTCAATTTTGTACCATCTGTATCCATAAACTACCTATTCAAAACAAAATTTTAATTACCTTTTTAAAAGAATGATAGATTAGACTTAGAAACTACTAAATTAAGAGACTTAGAAAACTGTTTTAGCTGGGCATGACTGTGTGGGCTCACACACCTTTGTAATCCCAGCTACTTGGGAGTCTGAGGTAGGAGGATCACAAGTTGGAGACAAACCTAGACAATTTAGAGAGATCTTGTCTCAAAATGAAAAATAAAAAGTGCTGGTTCTTTTAGAAGAGTCACAGAAAAACTGCTTGAAATACATTCTGTCTTTGCTTGAAGTACATGTCAAAGCAAACACCAGGGCCCAGAAATACTCAGCCCTCAATCCCTGAGGACACTCCAGTTTATCTTCCTTCCATCATAATAAATGATAAAGTCCTTTGTCTCTAACCCAAGAGTTTTATGTTTTCTGCCACCATCCATAAATTCATAACAAGCTATTAGTTTGTATTCTAGACTGGACATTTGTGTCCCTCCAATATTCATACATTGAAATTCCAATCTCCAAGATTCTATATTAGGAAGGTAAGATTGATTAAGTCAATGGACACAGCCTTGATGAGTGGTACCAGTGCCCTTATAAAAGAACCTTTAGAAAGCTCCCCACCCAACACCCACCACGTGAAGATGCAGCAAAAAGAAAGCCAACATGGCCAATTAATGTACTCTGAGGCAGGCCCTTGTCAGACACTAAATCTGTTGGTGCCTTGATCTTGGACTCTCCAGCCTCCCTCTCCAGAACTGAGAGAAATGTTTGCTTTTAGGTCACCCAGTCTATGGTAATTTGCTAGAGCATCCTGGATGTACTGACCCTTGTATTTGGGGTAAAAATCAAATCTTAGAATCAATGCTTTTTAGACAGAACCAAAGTCCTTCACCAGTCACAGCTGTCCCACCCCAATCACAGCTGCTCCCTCTCCAGAAAAGTAAAACTCTCCTAGGTAACTATTTATTTATATGTGGTTGAGGATCGAACCCAGGATCTTGCACGTGTGAGGCGAGTGCTCTATCGCTGAGCCATAACCCCAACCCCTCTCCTAGGTTTTATAATAAATGTCAAGCATGTATCCAGATAGTTGGTTCATTTTTAAAAATGAGCAAACTATCTTTCAAGTATTTTAATCTACAGGCTCTCCTCCATTCCTTTCTTTTCCTTTCATTTGTTGAAGAAACCAGACCATTTAACCAATGTTTGTGACAAATTCTCAATATGGATTTTGCAGACTACATACTCAGTCCATCTACTTATTTTTATCAGGTGTGTAAAATGTTATTACATATCAATACCTATTGATAGGTACTGGATAATTTTCAATTTTTGCTATTATAATGATGCAAGAACATCTTAAGTATGGATTTTGACACACTTAGGCTAAGTATTTGTACAGGACATTTACAAAGATCAGGTCTTGAACAAAAACTATCTCAGAATCTTCTCACATCAATGCCATTAGGATGATGTAATTGAATTAACAAATGAAAGGATATTTCTTCCTACCTGAAAAACAAGGCACTCTCAAAACCCGAAAACAACTATTGGTTCATGAATCAAAATCATTCATGCAAAAGGGGAGAAGGGGAAAAACATGGGCTTTCCAGTGTTAGACTCATCTACATATGTTTTCATTAATTCTAAAGGAAAAAAAACCACTCTTTTCTACAAAAATGACACCAACAATTTTTAACTAAAACCTAAAAAAGGTTTCTATAAAAAGAAACTTATGTCAGGAAAGATTAAACACTAGAATCAGAAACAAAATTCTCATACAATCCAAAGTGTATATGAGGAAAGGATGTTGTGGGGAAAGGGTAAGAATAATAAAGAAAGGGAAGAAGAAATGTTTCTAGCCAGCACCATTACATTCTAAAGGAGGACAGGGGATTCAAAGTTAGTTAAGGTTTCCTTAAATCTTCACTGCACATTAAAGAAAAATAATAGGCTCACATTTGGGGCTGAGGTTTTGGCTCAGTGGTAGAATGCTTGCCTAGCATGTGTGAGGCACTGGGATTGATTCTCAACACCACATGTAAATTAATAAAATAAAGGTCCATTAACAACTAAAAAACATTTTTAAAAATAAAAGTAATAGGTTCATATTTATTTCTATTTTCAAATATTTTCTTAAGCAATTAGATAAAATTGCTTATTATTTTAACTCCCTATTCTTAATGCTTTCCATGGGCACATATGAAACTTTTCACTTAATTCTCAAAATTATCAAGGATTCAGGGATTGGGGGGACCAGCTCAGCGCAGGGTGTGTGTGTGTGTGTGTGTGTGTGTGTGTGTGTGTGTGTTGCGCAGTGGGGGAGGGAGGTAAGGGAGGGGGCCTGGAATGTTACACTATTATCATGAATTATTAGTCCTGTTTCATAACCCTGCCTGCAATACTGCCATCAGTGATATCCTTCCATCACTCAAAGAAATAAAAAGAAAGCATGAATCCAGTTGGGCACATCGGTAATCCTAGCCAATTCAGGAGGCTGAGGCAGGAAGATTGCAAATCCAAGGCCAGCCCCAGCAACTTTTTTTTTTTTTTTTTTTTTTTTGTGAAACCCTGTCTCAAAATGTAAAAAGTGCTAAGTATGTAACTCAGAAGTAAAACACAAACACCCTTGGGTTCAATCCCTGGTACTCTCATGCCCTCATACCCCCCTCCCCCAAAAAAGAAAAACTGACTCTATTGGTTCTCTTAGAAGGGTCACAGAAGGACTGCTTGGGATTCTCTCTATCCCTGGATCATGTCAAAGCTAACACTGGGACCCAAAAGCACTCAGTCTTCAGGCTCTGATGACAGTCCAGTTTACCTTCCCTACCTCAAAGTGGGAAGTTTATGCCCCATGTCACCACAGTACCCATGTGATCTGGCTGTCGTGTCTTTCCCCCTCTGTACACGTGTCTAAATTTGTGAATTACTACACTGATAAGTTCTTTTTCAAGGAAACTCCTCAGTCCCAATGTATGTCAACTGACTAAAATAAGAGTAGAAAGGGATAACATAATCTTCACATTTCCATCTTCACCTTAGCAATAACTGAGGTACACTTTGCAATAGCTACTGAGTGCCCACTTTTCTCAGAAGCTATACAGTACAGTAGGCAAGTCAATGAAGCCAGTCTTCTGGATTCATATCACACCTCATATTTACTAGCTGTGTGACACTGTGTATGTTACTTAGTCTCCTTGTCTCTCAGTTTCATAAAATAGGATAAGGCCACAATCCTTTAATTCAAGAAAATGTTCTTTTTTTAGATAAGTAATATAGTACATATCATATACTATGTAAACCACTCCAAATGAAGCCTGGGTCAGAACATTATGATCAAATCCTTCTGTATTTCTGCACCAAACCATGAATAGTCACACTAGTTAGGACAAATATAAAAAGAGCTTCAAATATGTTTAGATCGGGGCTGGAATTGTGGCTCAGTGGTAGAGCACCTGCCTAGCATGTGTGAGGCACTGAGTTCGATCCCCAACACCACATAAACAAAATAAAGATATTAATATATATATTTTCAGGTACAATTTTGCCACTAAATGCATTTATGACAAACTAACAAAATATTTTAGTTTAGAGGTTTTAAAACTGCAGTATACCCCACAGGACTATAAGAATTAATTCAGCTAATAAATATCAAGTACTTAGAACAGCACCAGGAGTACAGTTAGTGCTATAGTACTTATTTTTTTAAAATATTTTTTAGGTGTAGTTGGACACAATGCCTTTATTTTATTCATTTATTTTTGTGTGGTGCTGAGGACAAACCCAGGGCTTCTCACACGCTAGGCAAGCGCTCTACCGCTGAGCCACAACCCCAACCCCTATAGTACTTATTTTTATAACCTGTTATTTCTTATGTGCAAGGTACTTGTCAGTCTACATAAGACATATAAAAGGGAAAAACAGAATTTCTTCCTTACAAACTGATAAACTAAGGCCATTTAGGTTTGCAAAGTATCAGTACAAAATAATTACTAACTTATAAATTGACTACATGCCATGTACTATGCTAGATTTTTAAATTTATTATCTTATTTATCATTTATAAACACTCTTTAAATAATATTATCTTGATTTTATTTATTCATATATAAATATATGTATGTGTCAGATATATTATTTTATATATGAAATGCATATTGAACATATATAGTTAAGTAATCTGCCTAAGATGAAGAAGTAGACCCATTATTTAAACTCAAACACTCATGCTTCTCCATGCTTTTTATCATAACCTTATGTCACCTATCATAACCTTATGATAGGAGGTGACATAAGATTATGAGGACTCATTGTTCTCAATGAGTCCCAGCACTCATTGAGAACAATGGTATACCAAGGTCAAGGAAACCTGCCATGCCAGTATTTTTCTACTTGTCTAAAAATGACATTTTAAGTTACATATCACAAAACAATAAGGCCAGCTAAACAAAGGCCAAACTTACCAAATGTTGCAAAATGATATTGGTTCTTCTGAATGAGTTAAACCTGAAACAAATGTAGAATACAATGAGCATAGTAATGTGGACAGTCATATCTCAATCTACAAATACTATATTGCCTTTTGCTTAAGCCTCTTCTAGAAATTATTAGAACAAAAAGTTAAAGAAAAAAGATTTAACTTATTCACTGCTGATAAGTTTAGCAATCAAACAGTAGAGCCCTTTTGAAAAAGTTTGGCAATTTCTTACAAAACTGAAAAACTAAATGTATTCTTACCATATGATCTAGCAATCCCACTCCTTGACTCCTTTTTTTTCCCTTCTCCAATACTGGGGATAGAACCCATGGGCATTTTACTCCTGAGTTACATCCCCAACCCTTTTTATTTGAGACAGAGTCTCACTAAGTTGCTGAGGCTGGTCTTGAACTTGTGATCCTCTCTGCCTCAGTCTCCTGAGTCGCTGGGATTATAGGTGTGTGCCACTGTGCTCAGCTTCCACTCCTTGTGTCTTACCAAATAAGTTGAAAACTTATATGTCTATAATAAAATCTGCACATGAATGTTATGTTAGCTTCATTTATAATTGCTCAAAATGTGGAAGTAACCAAAATGTCCTTTAATGAGCAAAGTACAACCCAACTTTGGAACATCTATAAAATAGACTATTATTCAGCAATAATAAAGAGAGATTATTATGTCACACACCCAAAGGGGGGGGGAGAGTGTGTACTTCTGTGTGAAAGTCATCAACTTGAAAAGACTAATACTGCATGATTTCAAGTGTATGATATTCTGAAAAAGGCAAAACTATGGAATAGGAAGATCATTAGTTGCCAGAGGTCTGGGAGCAGAAGGGAAAGATGAATAGGTGGAGACAGGAAACATTTAGGGCAGTGAAAATGATCATGTTATACTGTTACAATAGGTACAAGGCATTATACATTTATCAAAATTTTCTGCTCAATTTTTCTACAAACCTAAAATGCTCTAAAAAATAAAGTGTATTAATTTTTCAAGTTTGGTATGGAAGCAATAAAATAGGCATTCTCAGACACTGCTGAGAGAAATATAAATTGGTACTGCTCTTCTAGTAGGAGTTATGTAAATATAGATCCACAATCTTTAAAAAGATTATCTGGCTCCTGGGGCTGGAGATGTGGCTCAGCGGTAGTGCGCTCGCCTGGCATGCGTGCGGCCCGGGTTCGATCCTCAGCACCACATACCAACAAAGATGTTGTGTCTGCCGAGAACTAAAAAATAAATATTAAAAAAAAAAAAAAAAAAGATTATCTGGGCATGCTGGCACTTGCGTATGGTCCCAGCACACAAGAGGTTGAGGCAGAAGGATCACTTGAGCCCAAGAATTCATGGCCAGCCTGGAAAACATACAGAGACCCTGAAATATTAATAAGGAAAAAAAAAAACATTCTGAGGAGCTGGAGATGTGACTCATGGTAGAGTGTTTGCCTAGCATGTATAAAGCACTGGGTTTGATCCTCAGTACCACATAAAAATCAATAAATAAAGGCACTGTGTCCATCTATAACTGAAAATATTTTTTAAAAAATCTCTTCCACCTAGTAATTCCACCAACATTTGCAAGGTTTGATTTATAAAGATGTTCACAACAATTATTTACAAAAATGAAAAACTAGAAGCAATGTAAAAAGTAAATAGAGTAATTTTTTTTAATTGTGTCATTTATATACAACAATTACATGAACACTAAAAATACTTATTTAAAAATATTTAAATAATATAACATGGAAAGTATGACAGAAATTACATAAAGGAAGCAAGCTACAAAACAATAACAAGACATTCTAATTTTTTAATTCTAAAAATATTAGTATAGGAATACAAAGTTAATATACACCTTGGAAAAGGTGATCAATAACAAATTTCAGAATGGCAGAAGGTGGGGGAAGCTGGAAAGGTGCACGCAGAAACATGTAATGTTGAAAACTATATCCAGAGGATGATTAGAGAACGACCTACACACATAAAAGTTCATCAAGCTATAAACTTCAGAATGGTGCATTTAAGCACCTTATTTAAATCATGATTAAGAAAATATAAAGCAACATGGGGGGAAGGTAGTGACTAGAAGGGCCATGAGACAGGCTTCCAGGATGATGTTGTTAGCTTGTCTCCTGATCCCCAGTGATTTTTAGAAATGTTTAGTTTGTGAAGATCTCATCAAACTGTATCTTTATCCTTTGGGCCCTTTAAAAAAGTTTCCCCCAAATCACATCTCTTGCCCTTGAAAAACTCACAATGTAGTGACAGTACATATAAAAATACTGAAGTTAGAATGTAGTGAGATACATGCTTCTTGTTTAATAAGTCAAATTTAAGATATATGGAGAGAAGTCAAAGCTGGAATCAGCCACAGCAGACTAAGAAGGGCATACGTGCAGATACATACACTACCTAGTGGAACTAATAATTTTCCAGTTTAATTTTGCAAGGACACTTCGAGATTATAGGAGGAGCAATAGCAATAGCCTGAGACTTAAAAAAAAAAAAAAAAGATAATATGATAATTGTTTTCACCTATAACCACATCTGAAGATGCCTGAATTTATAAAAAATATTTATAATCCAAATGACTATTCAAAATTTATATTTACTGTCCCTTTGTATTATATTCAATTCAATCAAACCAAAAAAGGGGAAACTGCCTATTTGTTCAAATCAGTTACACTTCATACTCCTGGAGTAGCATATTTTGAATTTGCCAAAGACTCTTATTCAAAAAAAAAAAAAAAAAAGTCACACCAAAAACCACTTAATGAAACTTGAGAGGTGGGTTATAGGTATATATATGACAACATGCAGACAAATTATCATTAAAATGAACACTTGAGAAAAATTAAACTGAAGTGACAGATCCTAGCTTATTTTTTAAATAGGGTTTTCATACAGACTTAAAATCTGAACCACACTTAGACTAACATAAGCTTTTTTAAACTTGAATCAATTTTATCTTTTTGGAAGTTTTAAATACTAAAAAGTTTAAGAGCTGAATATACCTAAGAATGCTCAAGGCCTTAGGTTCAATTCCCAGAATCAAAGGAAAATGAAGAGCTATTTTTTTTTTTCAATGCAGAATGACCTTGAATTCCTTACCCAAAGTCAGCTGAAAGTTAAAGAAGGAGTTTCCATAGCAAATCTAAGTAACAGTTTAAATATTACCTGTGACAAAAGAAGAAATAGGTAAACACAGGTCCTTCTTCAAGTCTCAGTTTTATTTGAGATACAATCTTATTTCACTCATAGAAAAGTTAATCTAAACCTACCAAATCCAAATGCAAAAGCACTCTGTACAGCATTTATGGGTCACAAAAATCCCTGGACCAATTATTACAGGAAATCAACAAAAAACTAAGTATTACTAAATTCCATGCCAGATTATTTTTAATCATATTGCTTCCATCTAGTCCAATTTATATTCAAAATACTTAAGATCTGGCTTTGGGACTGGGGATGCAGTTCAGTGCACCTGCCTAGATGAGTGAGACCTTGGGTTCAATCCCCAGCGCTGTAAAAACATAAAATAAAATTTGGTATTAGCTTTTATACCTCAAAGTAAGTACTTGAAAAGTTAGAGTCTCCAAGTAATTCTGAATTTATGGTTTTCTCTTTTCCTTTTATTGGTTCCCAAACTGCCATCTGGTGGACAGGAAGAGGCCATGCACATCTCAGAGACTGCTAATTTAATTCTATGAACAGGTGTATTTCAATTCTTTCAGGTGATGTCAAATTGTGTCACTCTACACTGGTAATTTATTAGAAATGCAAAGTATCTGTCCCAATACAGACCTATTGAATAAGAAATTGTGGGAGTGGGACCCAGAAATCTACTTAATAAACTCTCCAGGTGATTATGTTGCATGCTGAAGTATAAAAACGATTGTCTTAAAAGTATGGGAACTTAATCATTCACATGATTAAGCCAATGAATCAAAAATAGGCTTACAAAATTAAACAACACCACATGAAACTTTCCAAGCAAGAAGATAATATCATCATATAAGTAATTACACCAGAATTAAGGTTATTACACCAGAAGTAGGCAAGATGTAAATAGGGCAGAAAGTCAGGTCCAGAAGACCAAGTAATTCAAGCAGGAGCTGATGAAGGAGAGCAGCTGTAGAAATAGAAAGGAATGATTTATTGAGTTATGAAGTAAAAACACAGTGAAAAATAAAAGACTTATTTCAGAAATGACTCCAAGATTTCAAATAAAGATAGTTAGAAGAATATACTGAAAAGATTGGAAAGGAAAACAACTGGTTTGTAGGATAAAATGTGAATTTGATTTTTTTATTTCAATTTGTACTGATAATAAGGAGAAACATTCAAAAACAAATGGAGAAAAGAGACTGGAGCCTCAAAGAAAAGTTAAGACTAGAGGCAGGAACTCACATATACAGACAATTGTGGAGGCATCAAGTTTTGGTAAGAAATAAAAAGAAAGCTGCAATTGGAAATTAGTGGCCAGAAGTTGCTATCTAGGTCTGAAAATGTGCTTCTTGGTCATTATCATTGTTGTTGTTTTTTCATTCAGCAGTGTTTCAAAATTATACATATTTAAAAACCAAAAGATTTCACATAAACATGCTGTTTCCAGCTTTTCCAGAAAAACCAAAAGTAGATATAGAAACACTGTATCTAAATTCTGGAATGACAACAATGTTGGGGGCTAAGGAACTGCCTTAGACAGAGCATTCTCCCTAGCTTACCAGCACCCAACTGCCATCAACTAGAATCACTAAACACATATTTTCAGCCTCTGCACTTGGACATGTGCCTCCTAGAACACTGGGGTGGGGAGAGATGGAACACATAATTGAGCTTCTGGACACCTAAGTAGAAGGAAAAAAGAAAAGAAGCAGCCAAAGAGCAAGAACCCAAACAATTTAGTTAAGCAGAACAGATGAAAAAAAAAAATGAGTTCTATTAACAACTTAAAGATCAAACCATTTAGGAGATTGACTTTGACTTCCTCTATCTAAATCTGGCTCTCCCATATCTGAGCCTTTCCTTTAAGATGCTTATCAGATTTGGTAACTAAATACCACTTTTGTCCAATTATCTGTCTCATATATGCTATTCTTACAGACTTTAAGGGACTTGGAAAAGGAACAGTAAGAATACCAAGTAGTCCAGATAGCTATAGGATAATAGAATTGCCTAGAACAGTATCTTCTGCAGCTGGAATGACTGTAAAATGTTGTATTCATGAAATAAATTGAAGCCAAATCCTTGCAATCCAGGCCAGAAAATTTTATTCAAGTCCATGAACACAAGAGTACCTCTGGGAGCTTTTGAGCAGAAGAATGGCAGGCACTAAAGTAAAATTTAGTAAGATGAATCTAACAGTCTTGTATGAATCTACTCAAACTGGGATGAGGGTAAATTCATCAATCAACTCTTTGCAAAATTAGCAAGTGATAATTAAATTTGAGTCAGCAGGAAGAAGTAAGGTTTGGAAGTATGGGAGAACTTACATAATTTTAGATATCTAGAAGACTGATAGTGCCAAGAAAAAAAAAAATGAGTTGTAAAGGTTGCAATTATGAGCAAACTTATATTCGAAGGGCAATCAAAACATTCAGATAGTTGTAACTAGCACAAGAGCTCAGGATAAATCAGGTTAAACAAATGAAAGTTATCATTAAAGATGATTTGGGGACGAAAAAATGTACAAGGACTGAACTGACACTGAATCAAGACAAGTAGTGGAAGAATGGTAGCAGGAACATAAGACAATGCTAGAGAAGCCAAAGGAGGCCATAATTCAAGAAGGATTGCCCAACAATATCAACCATGGCACACAGGCCTTTTTACCTCTCAAAAACACTCTGGGGCATCCTATTTCCTTATACATTTGTGGATTAGGCAAACAGACTGGATGACCCAGCCTCAGGTCCTGTTTTGTTAGTATAATACCCACTTCAGAGCTGGATCTGGAAAATGCATATCTAAACAAAATCTCCAAACTAGTCCTGGCTTCACCTAATTCAGTCTGCATCTTGAAATGTGGGGGGAATAAACCCAAGATTGTTAAGGTCTGTAAACAAGTCAAAATAACACCTGGTATTTTGCCAGGGGAATGTTAGAGCTAGTAAACAAGTCTGGATGGTGCCTGGCAAAATGCCAGAGGGAGTGGTTTGTGAAGTAACAAAAAAGAGCCATTAAGTGTGGAGATTCCTTATTGGTTGACTGATGTATCTAATTTATGCTAATTAAGATAAGCTGTGCAAAATGTATAAATACCTCTGTTGTCCTACAATACACGGCTCCTACTCCTGCTGTATCAATGTACACAAGTTATTTGTCACACCCCCCCCCCTTATTTTGCTGCAGCCTGGACTCCGGCTCAAGATGAACAGTGGGAACATATTCTTACCCAACTAAGTTAAGGTCAATAAACGTGTCTTGTTTATCAAATAATTTGGTATTTGCTTACATCAAAAAAGCAGAGGCAATGAAATATGTACTGATATTCTTAGTATTTACTAAGTTTCTCCATGAGGTGATTAGAAGTACAGGGAGGAATTTTAAGATACCAAGAAAACAAAATGTGACTCTTCAAAGCCTAACAAACATTTGAGAATCAGGTCAATGGATACAATGTCAGACCAAAAGACACTTTTTACTGAAACAATAACTATTCTTCAAAGAAACGCTATGAATCCCTTTGCAGAAACTCCCTAAAGCAAATTCTTAAGCAGAAATAACTTGTGGAGGAAATAATAAATCCCCCTTCAAGGAGGCACAGCTGCTACGTGGTATTATTTAAGGGCAGGCAGTAGGCCTTAAAACTGATGCAGCCTAATTTCCTATCATTAAAATGATTGCTACCACAGTTGCTGTGCTGAGCCCAACCTGCAGTGAAGAGCACTTTTAAAAAGTTAACGTCTTCATACATTTCCCACTAAGTCACGTCAAATATCCTCAACACTATTCCCTAAGTTCCAGACCCCTATAACAACGCTGGAATTATCTAATAAAGCCAACCAAGGCACACACCACCAGCACAGGTGCAACAACTAGCAAAGCACCTCTGTTAGCTGCATAAAACGTGACACATGTTAATTTACTCTAACTTAAACCCCTACATGACCCAAAACTGTACCCCACCTTTAATAAATGAAAGAAATAGAGGCCAAAAGAAAAAAACGCCGTGGCTTATGATTTAGGAGCCAGTGACAGAAAATGGAGGTAATGCTGCAAAGATGTTGCTGAAGGAAGAGAAGCGGAAAGCTGGGCAGAGGGCGTGGGGGCATCAGAGCATGCAAGCCGGGTTTGAAGGCTGTGCCTACAAGTGGGACTCGAAACTTGGAAGCCAAACAGTCGGCCACCCATGACCCTTTTCTCACCTGGGCGAGAGTAGGTAATGAGCCTGCCCTTGGCACTTACCTCGACATTAGCCTCCACACGTTCTGCTGTCGCATCGCCAAAAAAATCCGGAGCTAAAGCAGCTAGAAAGATGCACAGGATTTGCGCCTCACGACAGACCTGAACAGTCCCACGCCGCGCGACACAGAGGACAAGTCCTCCAAGATGCCAGAGCGGCCCACGGCGTCTCTTCCTCTACGCTATGCTGAGGGGCGGGGCAAGAGCAACCACAGGAGGAAATGGATTGAGCGACGGGCTGGGGCGGGGCCAGGGCCGTGGGCGGGGCCAAAGCGAAAGCAGAGAGAAAGAGCTGAGGAGCGGCCGTGGGAGAGAGGCTAGAGTTGACTCTGTCGGATTGGCAGGAAAGAAGATTGCCCTCCAGAGGCGGTCTTGGGAAAAGCCCAAACAGTCTTGGCCAGCTGGGATTGATGTCAATGACTTTTCTGAAATTTTAATGATTTTAAATTAAAAATGTTATTTAATATTCTTTGAGAATAAAGCAGATGAAAAATCGATGTAGCTTATTTGTAACCCAATATAGTTGAAATCCTTTCATGCTAGAATTGGAACATTTGCAATTTTCTTGGGATAAATTATACATCCCCCGATCTTTCTCAATGACAGACAAGAAAATCTGATTCAGAGGTGATAGGTCAGGAGCGGTGGCACGCCCCTGTAACCCCAGTGGCTGGGAAGGCTGAGTCTGGAGGATAAAGAGTTCAAAGCCAGACTCAGCAACTTAATGAGGCCCTAAGCAACTTTGAAAGGCAAGGGATGCTATCTATGGATGTGTCTCGGTGGTTAAGAGCCTCTGGGTTCAATCCCTGGTACAAAAAAAAAAAAAAAAAAAAAAAAGGATATTTATGATGTCCTCATTAACTAAACTAAAAATATTACTTTATCAGCGAAAGAGTAATTATATTCAAAAAGTAACTTAAAACAAGATTTAACTAAACCACTAGAATACACTGTAGAGTTGCTCTCAGATCCACCCAAAAGTCTAGCAGCCAACATTTCATCACCAATCAAGTATTTGTATTTATGAGAAATAAAAAATTCAGTGAAGAGTTTAAGAGGGGAAATTAAAGGAGTTTTGTTTCTTCAGTGCTGGGGATTGAAGCCTCCACAAACTCTACTACTCCCACGTTCTCCACAAACTCTACTACTGAGCTGTACCCCGCAGCCCTAAAGGAGTTATTTTTAGCTCCTCTGTATTTAAGGAAATACACTATCAAATCTTTAATCAAAAATTACCTTTTGATCTATGTCAAATATAATAACTAAATTCCCACTAAACAAAGGAAAAATAACAGACAACAAATTCCTGAACTGCGATTCAGTCTCTAGCTACAGGCAATCACCATCATCTTGCTTCCTTACTTGGTCACAAAAATGAATGGGTCATCTTATCCAGCATAGTATACTAGCAAGACATGGATTTCCTGTTTTATGACCTGAGATTCAAAGTTTTCTTGTCCCTCTAGCTTCTGTGTCTCACAATGCTACCTGTGTCTCACAAGGTCCCTTGCTTGGTTTAATGTTCTACTGTTAATTTTTTAATAAAGGACCCCACATTTTCATTTTGCACTAGGCCAGCAAATTATGTAATCAGTCCTGGCTCTAGCATCACTATGAATTTCAAAATATTTTTATTATTCCACAAAGAAAGTCTGTAATTTTAGCTGTCACCCTCTAGTCCTCCATTTCCTGGGCAACCCCTGGTGTGCTTTCTGTCTACATATTTGCTTATATAGACACTCATAAATGGAATTATATAACATGTGGTCTTTGTAACCAGCTTCTTCCACTCAGCATAACTCATTCATGTGGCAACACGTATCAGTACTTCATTTCTTTTTCTTGTTCAATAATACTTCATTGTATGGATGTACAACTTTTTTTAAAATATCTCTTTGTCAGTGCGTGGACAAGATTGTTTCCACTTTCTGGCTATTAAAAAATAGTGATGCTGTGATTAACCATGTACAAGTTTTTATGTGGGCTCTGTTTTCCTTTCTCTTAGGCATATGCCTATGAGTGGCATTGTTAGGCCAGATGGAAACTGTTTTACCATTTGAGAAAGTGTGCTAGTGATGGGACTGATTACACTTAATAGTATACTTTAAATGGATGAATTATATGGTATGTTAATTATATCTGCCTTTAAAAAAATAATTCAGGTTTCTCCATATACTCATCATCATTTTGTGATTTTTTTTTTAGTTGTAGATGGAAAGAATACCTTTATTTTGTTTATTTTTATATGGTACTGAGGATCAAACCCAGTGCCTCACACATGCCAGGCAAGTGCTCTACCACTGAGCCACAACCCCAGCCCCTTTGAAATCTTTTTAATTTTAGTCGTGCTAGTATATGTAGAGTGTTGTCAAGTTGTGGTTTTCATTTCATTTTCCTAGTGTCTAAGATGTTGAGCACTTTTTCATGTTTACTACTTTCTTTTGTAAAAGTACCTATTCAATTTTATTGCCTATTTTTAGGTTTGATTTTCTTTTTATTATTGTTTGATATGCAATCGTCAATTACTGTAACACATTACCTCCAAATTTATAAATCAATAAACATTATTTCCACAGGTTGTGTAAGCCAGGGAGAGGCTTAGCCAGGTGTTCTGGCTCAGCTTCTCATGAGGCTGCAAACTGGTAGCTGGGATTGCAGTTATCTAAATATTCACCTGGGAGGGGAAGGACCACTTCCAAACTCATGACACTGGCAAGCCTCAAGTCCTTGCCACCTGGGCCTTTCCAGAGAACTGCTTACAGTTTAACTCCTGGCTTCCTCCAGGGCTAGGGATCCTAGAGAGAGGACCACCAATGCAGAAGCCACAGTGTCTTTTATAACCTAATCTTGGAAGTGTCGTGCCATAACTACTGCTTATTTCATTAAAAAAATCACCCCTGGGTTAGCATGGAAGGGAATGAATACCAGGAGGCAAAGATCTTTAAGGATTGTTTGAAGCTGGCTATCAACTTGATTTCTTTTTAATTGCCAAATAGTCATCAAAGCATATCTATTTTTTCTTTGACATATTTCTCAGATTTGCCCTATTCTTTCAACTCCCCACTGCTACCATTCTAGTACCCATGTTGAACTCATTCCAGATCTAACTTATCTTCTCCCCCAACCATGACACCCTTAAATTCATTCTTATATAACTGACAACAAATCTTCCTAAGGTACCATTTTTTATTATTCTGAAAATAAACAATCTCACATTTATCGATAGCTATGCTGTTCAATGCTTATACAAGGCTATTGAGCTATTGAAATGCAGCTATTGAAGAACTGAAGTTCTTAAAATTTAAATTAAAACACTAAAGTAGTCTAAAATTTTATGTTTAATATATGATAAAATTACAGTATTTTGGATACTCTGAATTAGAGAAACTACATTGTTAAAAATTAACTTCACCTGTTTCTTTGCACATTTTTAATGTGGCCACTGGAAATTTTTAAATTGTACACATGACTTACATTGCATCTATATTAGGCAACAGTTGTCTATAATATTCAGTTCAAACTGACTGAATTTTGAGGTAACAAAACTGTGATCCACCTTACAACTTTCCAACCTTTTTTTCCTGTTTACTTGCTCCAATTACAGTCACACATATCCTGTATGTCACTGAGCACATGATATTAATGTTCTGCCTTTGTGCCTTAACTCATACCACAAAGCCATTCATTCTCTTTTTATCTTCTTCTAAACTTTCTTCATTCCAAAGGCTTAAGTCTAATCTTCCTGCAATAATCTTTTATTCAACTTGTACTGAACTTGCCTTTCCTGAATTCAAACTACATTTCAAATCAATACCACAATTCATCACTTATTTCTTCCCTAATTCTTTGCTGAATGCTAATTTTCTCATACAAGCAAACTGTGCATTCCTTGAGGATAGGAACTCTTAATATTTTGTCTGAATCTTTTAAAAACCTATCACTGGGATATGGTAAGTAGTCTTGCAAATTTGGTATTCTAATTAACCACAAAGGAAATTTTATGTATAAATAACTCTAATATTTTGTATGGTATGGAAATAACTCTCATAGGCTGGCCTTGGTATTAAAAATAAGGTTGCAAATTTTATTTGTCAAAATGCAAGTACTCCTTGAATTAATTCTACAACATGTCAAATATTATCCAGAACCAACTCCAGGACTGAAGGTCAGAAAAGGGGTTCTCTCCTACTTTCTCCCATTGGAAATCAATGATTGGAAACCAGTGAAGAGCCCTGGAGAGCCTGCCAGTCACCATCATTGAATTAGGCATCCTCAACACACCCATCCCTGCCCTTTCCCTCAAGCTCCTCTGCAGATCAAGGATGTCTGCCAAAGCCAGAAATTAGATGCTTATTCTGTCATAAAAACCCACTCTTTTTAAAAATTTTTTTTAGTTGTAAACAGATACAACTCCTTCATTTTTTAAATTTGTTTTTATGTGGTGCTGAGGATCAAACCCAATGCCTCACACATGCTAGGCAAGCACTCTACCACTAAGCTACAACCGCAGCCCCACCAAAACCCACTTCTGAAAGAAGCTTCAGGGCCTACCCTTTCTTAACTGTAACCTGCCTGGGGTTGTCTTACCTGCTCAGCTCTATCTTGATTTCTTACTCATAGTTTAAGTAGGAAATCTCAAATGTTAACCTTCTACCCCTTTCTAAAAAACTTTTGAAAATGTACTGAAACCTGATTTTTCCCCTTTCTTTTCACTGTTTCCCAAAATTTGCAAAGTGGTCATTTGGGAAAACAGCATTTTTTTTTTTTTTTTTTTTTTTTTTTGCGTGGATGGAGGTGGGGTGTTAGGGATTAAACTCAGGGGCACTTTGACCACTGAGCCACACCCCCAGCCCTATTTTATATTTTATTTAGAGATAGAGTCACACTGAGTTACTTAGCACCAGCATTGCTGATGCTGGCTTTGAAGTCACTATCCTCCTCCCTCCGCCTCCCCAGTCACTGAAATTACAGGCATATGCCAGCACACCTGGCTGGAAACAGCATTTTTGATTACAATGTTCTTTGCCAAGCCACAGGGCAAATTCCTGACCTATAATGATCATTAATTCTAACTCAAGGCTGTGAGTGTGATGGTCTCTGTGTACCTCTTAGGCCAAGGCTGACCGCAGGATGCCCAGATGGGAAATACCTGCATGAAATTTCATGTGTCTTTAAACAAGGGGATCTGGGTCATT